TGGTAAGACATGTTATAAAATATAAACCACGCGGAGAAAGAAGTACATACCTATCGAAAGTAAATATTCTAATAAAATAATAATAAGTTATAGATTCCAAGCAATTAATAATGTAAGGGAGATTTTTGGTAAGAGGGAATCAACCTGAACACGCAACAAGCTATTCTATTTTTAGAAATGAGATCAGAATAAGGGACAAAATAATATTTTTAATGTATTTTGTATCACCAGAAATGTCTAAACTTTTCATTCACAGACAAAAATTAAATACACTAAGTAATATTGTAGATATATACATAGCATATATTCCTTTTGCCGAAGTATATAAGGAATTCGTGCGAAAATCTTAATCAACGTCCTTGAAGTTGTAAATATCCTGAGGGATAATCATCCCCATGCGCAATAGGCCTAGGAAATATCGATTTTCCGTTTGGACCTAAATAAACTACCCTTTGTTTGACAAAAAACAAGAATTGTTTTAATTTAATACAGTTTTTCAAAATCTAATCAATCTCCAATCGATTTTTCAATAATAATCTTTGTTACTATGGAAAATAAACATGTAACACACGTCAAAAATTCAAATAAAAACACAAAAACATTGGCATTGACATTTTACGATAAGCAATTATTTAACTAGTCAAAAATAAGGATGAGGTAATCAACATCGAAATACTTACAATGACGTTATAATTTTTATATTCCAGTCACAGGGTATTTTAAAATTATCGATTCGGTAATATCCGCGCGAATAGTTAGAGGCCGAAAATGTGTGGAACACTGACTTGCATCCGCACGGTTGCGTATCCTACATAGGACTGCAGAAAAATGGGTTTGGAAGTCGGACTTCGCTTCATTATTATCTCACACAATTTTTACGGAACGTTAATGAGTAATTAACACGTACATAATGTGCAATTAGGAAAATGAAGATACAAATAATAAAAAGATCATGTAAAAAAAATAAAAAAAAGTAAAAAATAAAAATGAAAATACAAAATAAAAATAAAAACGTTTATTGCCTTAATAATAGACATCGGCCTATTTAAAGGAAAAACAATAGAATCTGAGCATTTTCTCTGTAGTTTATAAATAGTTAGAATTAATAATAATACTACTGGTGTTATTCCCAAAAACCTCCTACAGAACATAAAACAGCTGGGTCTAATTGAACATCTTTATAAGGCTATGCAAAAAGCTGTACTCTTCGCGACAGATAGAACCTTAGGTATCTTCTTCTTCTTCTTTGGGTGCCGTGTCCGTATTCAGACGTTGGCCGTCATCATGTTTACAATTTCCTGAAACCTTTCTCTGTCGGCTGCTGGGCGAAATAATTCTTCGACTGTGAAACCACACCATTGTCTAATATTCCGCAGCCATGAAAGTTTCTTTCGACCAATCCATCTCTTTCCTTCCACTTTTCCTTGTATTATAAGGCGAAGTAAATGGTATTTGGGTCCTCTAATTATATGGCCGAAGTATTCTGTTTTTCTCCTCTTTATGGTGTTTATGAGCAGACGTTCTGAGTTGATCATTTGAAGAACATCTTCATTGGAAGTGTGCGAAACCCACGATATCTTTAGGATTCGTCTATAGCACCACATTTCGAATGCTTCTAACTTGTTTAGCATTGTGGTTTTTAACGTCCATGTCTCACAACCATACAATAGGATCGACCACACATAACATTTCAGGACCTTCTTACGAATGTTCATTGACAGGTTTCTGTTGCATAAAACTGGTTTCCAGGTCATAAAAGCCTTACGTGATATTTCGATCCTGGATATGATCTCTTCATCAGAGTCACAATTTACATTTAACCAGCTGCCAAGGTATTTGACATGATTTACCCTTTCTATCTCTTCTCCATTAAGAGAAAGCAGACCTTGATCTATATGGATCTTTCCAACTACCATCCACTTTGTCTTTGAAATGTTGATTTTTAGGTCTCTCCGATAACTTGCTTCACTGACTAGATGTTTTGGAGATCTTGTAAACTTTCTGCAAGAATGGCTGTATCGTCAGCGTATCTAATATTGTTGATTACTTCTTCACCTAGTCTTACTCCCTCTTGTCTGTCATCCAAAGCCTCCTAAAGATTTCTTCAGAGTACAGATTAAAAAGAGTGGGTGACAAAACACAACCCTGCCGTACTCCACGTTTGATGGGTATTTTTTCAGTGGGACTGTATCCCACTGTATGACTTAGGTATCTGGGATGAGCGAATTTTCCCCTTAGAGGGAGTGTGAGCGGTATGGCTAAATCTGGATAATAATAATTACCTGTGGGAGTCATTTGACCAAAATGGGGAAAAACTCAACATGCCCTTGTGTCAGTTGGAAAAGAAACCCTCAAACCACTTAAAGAAAAAACAAAACCTTGGATGGCAGTAGATATTCTTGAACTCATGGAAGAACGAAGAAAACATAAAGCAAAAGACCTGAATAAATACAAAGAAATTCAGAGAAACATCAGAAAGAAAATTCGAGAGGCAAAAGAGAGGTGGCTCTCCGACAGATGCAAGGAAATAGAAGATCTGGATAAAAAGTACGATAGCTTTAATTTACACAAAAAAATTAAAAAAATGACAGGTTCTAGAAAGCGTACAAAAACGAATAGGTATCCATAAAAATGATAAAGGGGATATTATTACTAATATGAAGGAGATATTATGTCACTGGACCAATTACATTCAACAACTATTTAATGATGAAAGAGAAGAACTGTCATTAGAAATCACCGAGTATACCGGACCACCAATATTAAGAGAAAAAGTCATCTATGCCATCAAAAAACACAAAAGAGGGTAAAGCTACTGGACCAGATGAGGTGCCCATCGGATTATTTAAACTCATCGATGAAGATGTTATTGATGTAATGGTTGAACTCTTTAATCTAATATATCAGACTGCCACAATCCCCAGACAATGGCTGCAATCAAACTTTGTAGCAATTCCCAAAAAACCAAGTTCAACAACTTGCTCAGACCACAGAACAATAGCTTTAATGAGTCACACACTTAAAACATTTTTGAAAATAATTCACAGCAGAATTGTTAAAACTCTTGAATATGAGATTAGTGACACACATTTGGCTTTAGAAATGGTATGAGTACAAGAGATGCTTTGTTCGGCTTGAATGTGCTGGCTCAGAGATGCATGGACATGAATCAGGATATGTACTTATGGTTTGTAGACTTTGAAAAGGCATTTGATAAAGTTCAACATAAAAAGCTTGTAGATATATTAAAAAGCAAAAATATTGACAGTCGTGATCTGAAAATTATATCTAATTTATATTGGAATCAAACTGCCAAGGTAAGAGTTGACAGCCAGTACACCGAAAATATCAAAATACAGAGAGGAGTCCGCCAGGGTTGCGTGCTGTCCCCACTACTTTTCAATGTCTACAGTGAAGCGGTATTTCAAGAAGCGCTCTCAGACTCAATAGAAGGTATATTTATCAATGGAGAAGTTTTGAATAACTTACGTTTTGCAGACGATACAGTAATAATTACGGATAACAACAATGATTTACAGAACGTAATGCAACGCCTTAATAAACGCTGTCATGAGTACGGACTGTAGTTAAATTGAAAGAAAACTAAATGCATGATCATGACTAAATCTGCACATGCAAGTATCCAATTGACTATTGAATGATGAGAGTGTTAATAACTATAAATACTTAGAAACATGGATAACATCAGATGTAGACCAAACCAAAGAAATTAAAATACGTATTGAAATAGCACGTACATCATTTATTAAACTTAAAAAGTTTCTTTGTTGTCGGGATATAAGGTTAGAACTACGCCTGAGAATGCTTCGATGTTACGTGTTCTCTACTATTCTTTATGGTTTGGAACATTTGGAAGCTTGGACACTAAAACGAGTTCATCTGAATAAGTTGGACGCCTTTGAATTTTGGTGTTACAGAAGAATCCTACGAATATCATGGATTCAAAGAATGTCAAACATGGAAGTAACTAGAAGGATAGGAAATGAGGCGGAAATAATATTAACTATTAAAAGATGAAAACTTGAGTACTTGTTACATGTGATGAGAGGGAAAAAATACGCATTATTACAACTAATCATGCAGGGCAAAATCCGAGGAAAGCGAAATGTGGGAAGACGAAGAATATCCTGGCTTAAGAACTTAAGGGAATGGTTTGAATGCAGTAATGCAGAACTTTTTAGAGCGGCAGTCAACAGAGTCCGCATAGCCATGATGATTTCCAACCTTCGATAGAAGATGGAACTTAAAGAAGAAGAAGTGGGAGTCATTGTCAGTTCTTCTATCAGGCGCGGCCCCCTGCTCTGGTGCTTCTAGTGTTAAGGCACTAAACACTTACGCATGCTACTCATTTGGTATTGTTAAGTAGACAAAAACGGATATAGAAAATCTTCAGCGAAAAGTACGAACACACCTTGCAAAGGCACAAAAACACCATACTCGAAGTGCAGTAGAAAGAACGACATTTCTGCGGTATTTAGAAGGACGAGTTCTTATGGATATAAGTGAGAAACTAGAAAAACAAATTACTAATTTAAGAACTTATTTTTAAGTGCAGGCTAAGATATCTACTCTACATCTCGCGATTTGTGCAGTAGATGATACAACACCGACCAAACTGAAGTAACCAGACATGCGCATAAGCTATCTTACTAAGGATGAAAAAATGCGCACCTGGATGGGTAAACCTCTGCACTGGCGACATCCCAATGAGATCAGTCAAAACCATGTCGACAATATAGCGTCGAACTATTGGTTGACATCAGGAAAGATGGTCCCTGAAACAGAAAGTTCGTTACTCCCCATTCAGGATCAGGTTATACCAATCAAAGTTACCTGAAATATATCGTCAAAGACTTTTAGGTCCAAAGGTCAAAGTCTAATAACTGAATACAAGGAAAGGCACTGGTCTTTATTATCTTGTATAATATTATTGTGAAAAATTAGAAACTAATAAACGAGTAGAAAAACAAATTAATATTCTCTATGTAAAATAAGAACCATTTTTATTAATAGAATAAATTCGGGTATAATCATCGTTTTGTAAAGAAACATTATTTGCATTATAAAAATTCCAATATCTGAATCTTTGGCTTGGTTCGTCATTTGGTCTCTGTGGCAAATTTGTAGACATGTAGTTTCCCCAAAAATGTGAGTAGTTTTCTTCGTAATTGAGTGTAACATTAACTTTGTTATAATCTTCTGAATAGTACCTAAAAGAAAAATGGTAAATATATAGACAATAGTCAGATATTGGTCAAATATATAGGCAAATCTAATGTTCATTAAAATATACTTAATACAGTAAACAATAATAATACAAAATCCGTAAAATAGTTTCGAAACACAATTCAGAATTCTGCTTATAATCTGAGCCTTCTAAAAATTGCAAGGCAAACAGACGTTGATAAAAGATGTTAAAATCTTTTAACATCTTACCACTGCAAATTTGATTTCCCGAAAAAATGTGGAAGAAATGGCAAATCAAGGATTGGCTAATCGAAAAGACCATTTTCTTCTACGAAGATTACCTAAAAAGTGAATTACTGGATAATGTATATATAACGCATTTAGAGACGAGTACAACCAGTACACAATTGAAACAATTGCGGAAAAATAAGGCGTTATGATTTTGGGACTGCTGCCTTACTATTGCGAGCTGAACCCGATTCAGATGGTGTGGAATTAACTGAAAAGGTATGTGGCTTTAAACAACGTCGATTTGAAAGAAAACCCGGTAAAACGGTTGATAAAAGATGCTTACCAACGCGTATCTAAAAAGCAGTTGCATAATTGTGTGAACCACGTCAAGAAAGTGGATGAAAAAATGTTAGCGGTGGACAATTTGCAGGAAGATATTGACCCAGTGATAATTAATATGGAAGATGATTCAGAGGATAAGGATGATTTAGATATGGATTGCAATTAGTATGAATTAACGAGAAATATCAAAGATTTATTGCACCTTTGTTTTTTTTTTTGTACTGTACGTACAGTACATTTCAGTTATGATCTTCTTATGTATTTTTGGTATATATATTTATCCTGTCATATAGAGTAAACTACTTGCATTTTTTTGTAAATATGTATATAAGTGTTTACGAGGTATTAAATATTTTATGTATACATGCATCTTTTATAGAATTAATTTGTTTTTTTTTTGTTTATTCTCTTATTTAAGTCAGTTAACTTAAAGAGGAAAAATTTTTAAAATAAAGCGTGTACGGTTCTGATTTTTCAGTCTATCGCCAAACTACCACACACCTATCACTGTGCCGACATGAGCGGCAACGCTGCATTCTAACTGTGGCTTCTACTATAGCTGTAGTATATTGTACTAACCTGCAATTTTCTAAATCGTTTGTGTAATAATAAGGATGCTTGTATTCTGGACGGTTAACGAAATTACTGGATATTAAATTAGCCGTTGTTTGACTTAACTCTGCACTTAGAATATTGACAAATCTTGACATTTCCATCGGTCTTTCTTCCTGCAACGTTTGTGTTAAAGCCAATATATAATTCCTGGCTAGTCGAAGAGTTTCTATTTTTGACAGTTTTTGAGGTATGGAATTATTATCGGAATGGGTCAATCGAATCGGCATATAACTGTAATCAAAATATGTAGTAAATAAAAGACTATAAAATGTGTTATTGCTATTTTTAGTACCTTCTATAAGCATGTGATTTGTCCTTAAAACGACGACCACATTTAACAAAAGCCAGGAAAAACTTTTAGTCTTAACATTTACTTTCAATATTAATATAAAACTCCAATTTTATAATTATGTAACTTTAAAATATTGTTACGATAAATTCTGACCTAAAACCGTAAACATATTTATTACTAATATTCTATTCATGCACGTATGTTCTAGGTCATATGCTACGAACTCTCCAAAAGAGTGCTAATAACAACTTCATGTAACAAGAAAGCAGCCGGCGGCCCGACCCTGCGAATTTACCAGACGAGAAGGCGATCGACTTTTCTAGTCTAACGGTATTGGTATATAACGGGACCTTTTTGGAAGAAAACGAGCAGTCAGAAACGAAGATCGCGACGCGTTTTAAAATGTAACGTTCGTAATAAATTATTATAAATAAACTTTAAATAAATTAAGTTGTAAGTGTTATAAATACAGAACCTTTGATAAATAATAAGAACAATAAATTAGAATTAATAAAAACATTACAATATAAATGATGCATCCTCGATATGTTATTTATTAACTAATAGTGATCTTTTTGTTTTAAAATTTATTTTCTATAAGACTTGAGATGAATCTGAGATCAGTTTTTCCTGTTTTTTTTTCTCATGGTTTACAAAATAATATGATATCCTCAAATTTAAGCTACTTATATATAATTAAACAAAACTATCCTTTTAATAAAGTCGTCCCAAAAACGCACCTTAAAAATATTGACAATTTCCGAACTAGAAATCAAAAAATCAAAATAAATTTATTATTAGTTACAGTAATAGCAAATTCCCATTAAAGATAATGAATAACATAAAGATGGTATAAGAAAATGGCTTCAGCACAATGTCAGTACTATTCCTCGTTTTTAATAACCTAATATCTTAGAAATTTTGTTAATGTAAATCGATTTTTTATATAAATGAATTTAATTACATAATTATGAAAATGGATTTTTTAAGCTCTTCAACATTGAAACTAATCAGCATATATACACTCGGAGAAAAAGTAAACAAAAATTTAATTCCAGCGACACATATTGATACTATTAGTAGACAAAAACTTAAAAATAATTGGCATTTACATTACAGACAATGTAAAATTATCTTAAACCTCTATAATTGTAACCCTAGGATACCTTTAAGAAGATGGTTTTACACAGAATCTAATTGCGGCTGAGAGCAAATCATGCTCTTACGCCATCTTACATGCATGGAAACGGCTTATCAAATGCTCCCAATTGTACTTGTGGCAAAATAAGTGATCTAACACGTATTAGAATGTGATTTACATTTAATAATATAAACGATCCTTATAGGGAATTAATAAATTCTAAGTGTTGAAAGTATATTGACGAGAATGTTCCAGCTAATATAAATGAGTTGTGCTTATACATTGATAACTGTACAGAACAAAATAAAAATCACACGATAATTAGGTTTTTAATGTAACTTACAGATAATATAAGATTCAAAATAGTTGTCTATAGACTTCCAATAAGAGGTCACTCCTATTTGCTATGTGACAGGGTCTTCGGTCTTGTAAAAGGTTAAGTATAATCGTGATAAACATGATAGATTCTACACTATGAAAGATATATCAGAAATAATACTTTCATCTACAAAACAGGGAAAGTTTGCTGTGGATTAAGTGGAAAAAAGCAGATTTTTTGAAATTTCCAAGTTAATAGTTCAAATTTTACAAGAAAAATACTGTTTCAGAAGAAAGTAAAATTAAGAAAAACAAAAAAAGGTGCCAATTCATCAAGAGAAAATTAATGACCTGAAGAAGCTTTTGCAGTACGTCCTTCAAAAACACGAATGGTTTTACAGTCTAAGGTTGTAAGCGAAAAGTGAGAAAAGATGTAAAAAAGATCTAATTGAATTGTAATAGAACTGTTTTAATAAAGTACTATTAATTGTAATTAAATACGGTGTAAATTCATCCATCAATCAAAGTTTTCCCAGTAAAACAAGACTTTTGTTTATGAAAGGCCTTTTGTCAACTATTTTCAATAATAAAAAAAACTACAATAATAATCTTACAATGTGTAACTAACACGATTTATTTTTAGTTTTAGGGTCTTTAATATGTTTCGAAAAATCAAAAAAGTATAAAATGGTTTTTCATAAAACTGCACTAAGAGTTTTTTGTTGTTTCCCCAAATTTACATTTTGTGACAAAAGGCCTTTCATAAGCGATTATAGATTATAAGTTTTCATTATTCAATGTTCTAATCACTAAATATTTCAATATGTTACCTCCTAAGCCTGTCTAAAGCTGCATTTAACCCGTGCATCCTATTCCGCTCTCTTGCGTTTGCTTTCGACCTTCTCAACTTTATTTTGTACACTCTTTTGTGCTCTTTTTTTGTCGATCTTCCTTCCATCATTAGCACTTCGGAACATTTTTAACAGTGCAACTATTAAGAGTATTTGCGTTCGGGGAGTCCTATATATAATTTTCCGGGATTATCTGATTTTCAACACAGCGCCGTCCAACAAGTTTAATATAAATGATAAGCAGGCTACGCAAATTTTAGGGATCGTCTAATATAAATATATATGAAATAAAAATGCTTATTCGGCTTTTTTACAATTTAATTAAATAACTAATGGAAGTACTAAGTTATACAAATATCAAAAAAATTTTTGTACTTGACCAAAATTGAGGTAGTTGCGAAAGAGTTTAAAATGAAAGTTGTAACTCCAAATCTACCCGAGACAACTTACGTACTCGGCATGGATTTATAGTTGGCAGGGCAGTTTCCATGTTGCGATCTATTGAGACTCAGTCCGTAGCTTGAGGATTCGTCTTGTCGGTTATATGAAACCTTTGGTATACATTAAAAAAAAAAGAACTCTCGAACCACTCACACTGTAATAACCAAATGAATAAAAAATAATTATAATATACAGTAAGAAGTCAAGGCAGACATGACCCCCTCCACCTGTTTGTTCAAGGCACATTTATAAAATTTTCGTGTATTACAGGTTGCATAATAAATAGGAAGAAATTTACAAACAATCAAGAATTTTTATTTAATAATTATAGCGATGGTATGTATTTCGTTTTTTTTGCTTTCATAATATTTCTCACCTCAGCACTATTCATACTTAAGCTTCCGATAAGATGTTGTAGATCTTCTATACTATGATCACAGTGTCGTCTGCATCTCGTAAGTTGTTAATTAATTTTCCGTTAACTGTAACTCACTCTTTGATGAGCGTGTTTTGGAAAATTTCTTCAGAATATAAGTTAAACAAAAGTGGCGATAAAACACATCCCTGTCTAACGCCTCTACAGATCTTTATTTCTTCTGAGTGTTGCTCATCAATTTGAACCATGGCACTTTGGTTCCAATATAATTTTTGCACTATATTTATGATTTTACTGTCAATGCGCTTGTTCATAAGTATTGACATAAATTTTTCATGTCTTACCTTATCGAAAGCCTTTTTCGTAGTCAACAAAGCAGAAGTGTAGATCAACTTTTACATCCCGACATCGCTGAATCAATCTATCGTACATCGTGTTGAATAAATCTGCCAATACTTCCAAGTTATCCTCTTCCACTAGTTTTAAAAGTTCTACTGGTATTTCATCTAATATAGCTGCCTTATTGTCTTTAGAGTTTTTGATAACATGTTTGATTTTATCTATCGTGATCTTCTGTCTCTTTAAAGGATTTAATTCTTGTATTTTCTGCATTTCATCTCTTTCATCAGGCAAAAGTTCTCTAACGTACTTCTCCCATCGTCTTAATTTCTCTAGCTAATCTATTAGTAGTACTCTTTTTTTGTCTTTTATGTGTCCTTGCTGGCTATTTCGACCCATTCCAGTCACTTCTCTTATTTTTTTGTGCATTATATCTCATATCATATTGTGTTTCTAGTTTTCTATCTCTTTACATTGTTTCATTAAATAGATTTCCTTAGCTGTTTTGATTTATTCCTTAATTATTCGTTATATTTCTTTATACTTCTGTAAATCTTTTCCTTTGTATTTCCCTCTTTCTTCCATTTGTAGTAGTATTTCTTCTGTCATCCACTGTTTTTTAGCCTCTGATCTATGTTGTATCAACCTTTCTTGAGCTGGTTTGAGTAATGTGTTTTTTTTTATATTATACCACTTTTTATTTACATCCACAATTTATTTATTGTCAGTTATTTTTGCGTATTAACATTCACATTATTTTTTAATTCGTTTTTATTTCTTAGTTTTTTAGCATTATTGCATTAATTTTTGGTTGTTGTTTTCCTAGTTCTATTCTTTTTAATTTTATTTTTACGTCAGCAACTAACGGATTGTGGTCTGAGTTAAGGTCAATTCAGACACATCAGTCACGTCTCGTCACAGTGATTGCGCCGAAATCGGACAATCCGTCATACAAAATATTCTTTAATTACAAATATGTTGCCGGCATTCACACTCATCAGTTGACAAACAGTTTCCCAGCTGTCAGATAGTTGATAGTTCTGTGACCAAACAGGACCGGTTCGGTGCCGAGACTATAACGGGACTGATGTGTCTGAATTGACCTTTAACATCTGCTAATAAGTTTTTCTTTCTCGGAGCTTTCTCCGTTTCTTTTAACATAGCTCTAGACTATGTTCTCTCCAAACTAGACTCTGACACAAGAAGGGATACAATGGACGTTAACCACATGCCTAAGCGATCTAGAATACGCCGACGATATCTGCCTGTTAGGACAAAGGTTCCAAGATGTGGCTGACCAATTGGAAACACTTTCCACTGAAGCCAATAAAATAGGTTTGAAAATCAATATTGGTAAAACCAAATCCATGCGAATAAATGCAAGAAACAACACGCTATTTCACCATTAATAACATGCAGATTGAAAATGTGGAAAACTTTACGTATCTTGGAAGTGTCATAACAGAAAGCGGCGGTACAGAAGGACGATATTCGTATGAGGATACGAAAGCGCAACAAGCTTTCAGCATGCTCAACCCTGTTTGGAGGTCGGGAGAATAACACTACGCGGACAAAGATCCGCATATTCCAGTCAAATGTCATGTCTGTACTACTTTACGGAATGTGAAACCTGGAAAGCGACAAAAACCCTTACAGACAAACTGCAGGTCTTTGTTAATAAATGGTCTACGAAGAATTTGTTCGTATTGTTCTGGCCTAACATCATCAGAAACGAAGACTTACTACACCCTGACCAACACAAAAGAGTAGGTAGTAAATGAAATAAAGTCCAGAAAGTGGGTTGGATCGGGTCACACACTCCGAAAAAATAACTCCAGTATTGCAAAGACTGCCCTAGAGTGGAATCCCCAAGGAAAACGAAAAAAAAGGTCCGCCCCAGTACAAACTTGGAGAAGATCCATCATGGACGAGATTAAGAATACAAGGAAAGTCTTGGAATGAGGTGAAGGCCTTCAGCGCAAATAGAACCCGAATGGCGCGTTTTCACTGAAGCTCTATGCTCCACTTAGGAGTTCAAGAACCTTATATATATATAAGTTTTTATGAGGTTTATGAGTTTTTATATCTACTATTTACTTGTATAAAGTCGAGTATATAATCGTTACTGAACAATATGTTTCATAATATATTTTTTCCACCAGCAAGAAATTTTGTATTAATACACGAAACTCTTTTTTTACCATTTTACAAATTAAGAAAACTGCCTCATTTAAATAACTTCAACTTGTAAACTGATGTTTAGATTCAGTCTAAATTTTAGCCGGTCAATGTATAGGATGGTTCATTTTGCAGCATAACATTACCAACTCCGGTTTGATATCGTATTTTTAACCTCAAATTTTTAAATGGAGCGCTACTGGTTCATGAGGGATTATCTATATTGTTTACCTTTTGATTTACCACTTGATGGGCTATTTCCCGATAGCGGTATTGTTTATCTACCTGCCATATGCCGTTACATTACAATATGCTACAGTATACAACCTATATTGGAATTAATTATATGGGATTATGAATAGGAGTGAAGTTTAATTATCTTGAGGAGATAAGAGATATGCCATATGGTTGTTTTGTCTCCCTTATTTGGTGATATTACTTTTAATCATTTCGATATAAGCGAAGTTGTCATCCAGTAATTAAAATCGAACCAGATTTCAAGTAACGAATGATTTAAAAAATAAGTAGTATTTTTTCACCTTTCAGTCAAAGCCCACGAAAATCATTATCAATAACTGGTAACAAAAACTAATCTTATATTCTTGTTAGAACTGTTGTAAGATCTTCGTATAGACAAGATAGACTTCTGGTTTTTTCTAAATTTTTAGTGTTAATGAGATAAAAACGACTTATGACATGGTACATGCATTCTAGTGTTGTCAGTTTGGAGGAGAACTACATTGCACCAGAACATTAATCGCATGAGAAAGATCGCACCCCGTTAATCTTCCCCCCCCCCAATTTCTAGTTTCAAAACATCATAATTTTTTTTTCAGTAAGCTGCAATCAATTTAAAAATATCAAAAAATCACACGCTTAACTAAGAATTTTACAAAACTTGTATATTTTTATAGGCCCATAGATTAAATGTACATAACCTAAAAGGCATTTATTTTCGAAAAAAGCCTAGGTATACCTTTTGTTTGGAGATGGCTGCAGTTCTAGTTTTTTGCTATTTTGTGTACTTAATTTCAATATTTCTAATTTTTTTTCAGATTTTTCTGACACGTGCGCCACCTTGAAAAATCCAAAAAATGTTTTTTAGCAGTATTAGTGGATTTTCTCCAGTTTATAGACTTAACATAGATGAAATCAGGATTTTTTATAGCTTATATGTCATTTTCAATAACTGGGTCCTTTAAAACAATCAAAAATTGGGCGAAACACATTTAAACCCCCAGAGGACTAGGTATTTTCGGAATTTTTAAGGGTTTTTGCGGGGTTAATAATATTTTTTGAGATCCATACATATACAACCTCAATCATTTTTTTTCATTTTTTACGTTTTATGTAAATAAAAACTAAGACTGAGAAAGCTATTTAACCTCCATCGCCCATCTGTCCGAAAAACGTCATTTTTTCATTTTTATAATTTTTTTCGGTGGGTTGCAATCAATTTAAAAATTAAAAAACAATTACACGCATAACTGCAACTTTTACAAAACTTGTCTATTTTTTTAAGACCCGTAATTTAATTGTACATAACCCAAAATTGCATTTTATTTCGAAAAAGGCGTACCTATAACTTTTTCGAGGCAGATCTATTTTTTTATTTTGTGTATTTTATCAACAAATATATTTCTGATTTGTTCCAAATTTTTCCGTAAGCCACCTTTAAGAACCCGAAAAACTTTTTTTTAGGTTAGGTTAAGTTACGTCATAAGGTTAGCTCCCTCTTCCCAAAAACAGCATTTTCTCGTGTTTATTATTTTTTTTTCGGTGGCTTGCAATCAATTTTAAAACTTCAAAATATTTACAAGCATAACTGAAGTTTTTGGAAAACTTGTCAATTTTTTATAGACCTGTATAAATTCAGTTTGGTTATTTATAAATGTCACCAATAGACTCAAACCTAGTACTGACCTTTTTATGGACAAAAAAATGAAACTAACAACAATATTATACAGTAATATATTATATTTTATATAGTTTACAAAATATTAGATACAGCAATTATTTGTCAATCCAAATCACATCTGCAAAAGAAGTGTTTAAGGTAAGTTTTTTCTTGCAAATTTATGATAAAGTTTAATATTACCACCAATTGTACAGTAGATCGATAAATAGGATCTGTTTAACTCAGAACACTTCTTGTGGCACTTATCCATTCCGGATGTTCTTCAGGTCACGTCAACTAGCTTACTTTTAGGTGATGAATGAAAAGTACTACGAAACTAATACTACTTAGATTGGAACGCATTCTTTAAGCTAAAATATCAAATTTAATAAATGTACTTGCAGATTTTTCTCTGGAAGATTTTTAGAAACTGCGATGGGAGTGTATATTACGACAACTGTAACTCACGACAAAGTGCGTGAGTTTGTCACTTGATGTTGACATAAGAACTTGATGCAAGGAATCAGATGCATCAAACATATATTTTCCATTATAAAACATTAACGAACTAGTTTCCAATTTTATAACGTCCATGCAGAATAGACTTACATCAACAGACAAACAACATTGCTAGATGAAAATGGAAACATTATATTGGACACAAAGAAAGAGTTTTAAAATATTGTGTAGAACAATCATCGTCTAACGATCAGCGTGATTATTGAGTAATTGAAGTGTTTGATCTATAACTTAATAAAAAGAAAACCAGATTTTATGATAATTACGACAAAAATCTATATATGTCAAATATATACATAAAAGAATCAGTGTAAGAACATAGAAAGTCCGAAGTTCGTGTAACAACCTGAAACAAATACCAACGAATATATTTCAAATATCGTACAGACTAGATCTAAGCTTAAAACTAAAATTATGAATGCTTTTATGTAATTGTTTTGTTGTATACTGTAGAAGCGTGAGAAACTGAACGAACACTGTATGAACAAACTTAAGACACTTGGGATGTGGACGTATCAAAGGGAGCGTACTCCAAAACGTGAACAAAGTAAAATAAATCTCGTTCAAAGAAAACAAAAAAAAAACTATCTGGGGACATTTTACACGTTGAGATAAATACCAATTGCTATAAATTACTGTCCAAGGAATTCGCTTGCAGTTCAATCTTTTCAGTTTATTTCTTTCAAAGAAACATGGGGCACATTTATCATGTTAAAATCTGACCAATCACAAGCCAGTAGTTCTTAATTGGTTAGTAAAAAGGACTTAAAGCTATATAAATTGAAGTTTTCAGCTAATACCTTAACATTTGTACTGCTATGAGTAAAGAAATAAGACAAAATCAGTGTTCTTGCTGTTCTTACTAAAAAATAAAAAATAATGGGATTCTTACTACCTAACACTTTATTGCAAAATGCTATTTGGATTGTTTTCAATATACAATTAGTTCAAAAAATATTCTATACGATTCTAATAGAAAAGTAAAAATGTAATCGTTACTTTTTGACTAAGTAAACACACAGCCAATTCGAAATAATTTAGAAGTATTTACATTTATTACAAAAATTTGATGTTTTTTTAAATTACACAAATAGTAAAAGGATGTAGACATATTTCTAAAGTAGAATAGAAGTTTTGAATTTGAGCAATGTTGAGCAACAATTTGAGCATGTGGGACAAGCTTGTTACTATGAATAAGATGTATATTACTATTTAAATCCTACAAAGGTTTCTGTAAGTCTCTTAGGGGGTTCGTTTCGCCTTCATCACCAATTCTTTTCAGAATCTTGCTGACAGAGGTTAATTTTAATCAGCTGTTAAAGTTGTCAATAACAAACAGCCCTTAGTGTTACTTATTTTATCTAATAGGTATGTCGATGGTAAATAATTATTAATATCTTGATATGTGCTTGAAAACTTCTACAATATGTCCGATGACCAGCACAATCAGGAACTTGAAATAATAACAGTGGCATCTCAAGCATGTTTAAATGGATTGTATATCTATACCTAAACCGACAATAAAGAAAACAGAAAGATACCAATACCTTCGAGCATATAAACTTGTCCGGGCAATTCTTAAACACTTTAGCAAGATTAAAATGAATAGTATTAGGAGTAAGATATGATACAATATCTGAAGAAACAACAAGAATGCAATCAATATTTTATAGGTATCACATGATAACTAATATTAGGACCCCAAGAAAACAAAAAATTGAAAGCATGGTTTGATAAAGAATGTCAAAAAAAGAATCAAACTAAAAACCACTCAAGAAAAAAATGGTTAGAAAAAGGAATGCAAGAGCAACTAGAGCAATATCGAACAGAAAAGCAAAAGCCACGAAACTCTAAGGACGAAAGAAAGAGACAATATAGTACCGAAAAAATACCATAAAAATAAAAAAGCCAATATAAAACCAGCCAAGAGACATAGGCATAAGACGAAGAAATAACAGATAATAGAGATGCAGAGGAACACCCACCTGCCTATCCAAAATTCATAAGTGTTCTAACTAAAACTAAACAAAACTCCAGAGCCAGATGAAATTAACAACGAATTGATCATAAACAGAGAGGGGCTGCTGAAACGGATATACAAACTAATGGTCCAAATTTGGAAGGATGAAGACATGCCTGTAGAATGGAAAAATAGACACATCATAAATATACGTCATCATCAACATGTATCGCATCAAAAATCATAATTCTTCTTCAAGTGCCATCTCTGCGGCGGAGGTCGGCAATCATCATAGCTATTCGGACTTTTGAGACGGCTGCTCTGAAAAGTTCAATCCGTACCACTCTCTCAGGTTGCGCAGCCATGACATTCTACGCCTCCCTATGCTTCTCTTTTCTGAATCTTTCCCTGCATAATCAGTTGGAGCAAGGTGTATTTCTCCCCACGTGTAATAGTCCGATTATTTCCAATTTCTTGTTTTAATTGAATTTAAAATTTCTACTTCTTATTCATCCTTCTCAGAACCTCTTTGTTTGTAACGTGTTCTATTCACGATATTTTCAGAATTATACATCAACAGCTCGAATGATTCCAGTTTTTTCATTGATGTCACATTCAAGGTCCAAGATTCCATTCCATAAAATAAAGTCAAAAAAGCATAGCACCTCGCCAAACTAAATCTTAGTTCCAATTTTAAATCCCTTGTACATAGCACTCTTCTCATTTTGTTGAAATTTGCTCTAGCCTTTTCTATTCTAATTTTGATATCTCGAATGTAATCAATTGTGGAGTTAATCATTGTTCCCAGATATGCATATTTGTCTAATTGTTCGATGTTGGTTCCGTTTATTAGAAGAAAAAGGATAATGGGAACAACCTAAACGAAAATATTGAATTGTTAAGGGAGAAATACTTTTGAATCAACGATGTAGAGACCACTAGAAAACGACCAAAAGGATGGTGCTATTTGAAGATCGGAGCAGTAACATGCAAGATGCGCATTTCCTTGATGACTGTTAACCTTCTTTGAGTAGATGGCACACAAAAGAAGATGAATAATAATAAAGTCTCTAAATCTATATAATAATAGACATCTTATTGATAGTAGTCCTACACCCCTATTACGGAAAATTAGGAATCTTGGTCATCTTGGCACACGATACACAGAATAACGTGCGCTTGTTCCAAGCGCCGATTTCTTATGGGTCATATTTAAAATCACTCTCATTATGACGTCATGCGTGAACCCGTCCCAATTTGGCGCTCGGGAGTATCATACCTGCTATTCTTTTTATCATGGTATTGGCACACATTGACGAACCCCAGACGTTGAAGTGTTAGTCCTTGATTGTTCATGCTATTTTCTATAAAATACATAACGTTAAAATGAGACACAATAACCTTCAAAAACATAAGTTTCTATAATTTTGCGGAATGTAGCTTTCATCCAACAAATAAAACCAACAAGTGCACAAATTTCCGATGCAAAATAAAATAAACAGTTAAAAGACGTTACACAGAACTTTAGATCTAATATTTTGGATAACCCTGTAATAATTTTGATTAAACGCTAAAATTTTGAGACTAGATTTTTACATTTTTCATGTCGATTTGTTTGTATAGCCTCAAATTATTAAATTAAAAATTAATTTTTCAACAAACCAACACAAAAAACTTTTATTATAAAATAACTAGCGTAAAAATATTTTTATTAAGTAAAATAAACGAACAAATATTTATCAACCTCGTTTTTTGTTGTTTTGTTTAATAAGGGGGGCATATAATCAATATCAGAAAAAATTATCAAAAAAAAACATTAGCTTGTGGCACGATATGGATATTTGATGCCTATAAAGTAGCATATAATTTCTACGTGGCTTATAAAATAGATTCAAAACAGACAATTTAAAATCTATGCTCTCATTTCTTTTCTGAAACCATTACTGTTCTGAGAAGCCATTGAAATCGATATAAGTCCCGATTGACTTAACAAAATATCGTAATAACGTGTAAACATGGAGTTTTCGTCATAAATGGTCACTTTTACTAAATCAGTTAAGACAGAATGATCTTCCATTGTGGATCGTAAATAGTTACGTTGGTGATGTAAATCAGAGATTCAAAAAATTGTGACTTTGATAAAAGTAAAGTCCTGAAAATCACCTTATAGACAAAATTGAAAGCTCCAAAATCAAAAACTGACGCTTTTATAATTATATTATCCTTAATTCTAAGTTTCTTTTTACTAATAGCGAAAATCTTTAACTGAAATATTAAATTTTCATATTATTTGAATACATTTGAGTATATGCCCCTCTCTCTTATATATTATCTTAGTTTTCAAATAGTTCAGCAACTTTACTATGCGTTTTACTATCTGGTGCTCCATAGTCTATAACTACACCTTCATGTTTGGTTGTAAAGCATCCGAGTCAATCTGTAGTTTGGCTTCTACTGGAGCTGCAACTAAACTACCGTGAGGTCCTTTTATCATGTGAACCACGTTCATACCTAAAAAAATAATTCAGATTAAGGTAACTTAGGTTAGGTATTTTACCAATAAAACAAGGTTAGGTTTTATTTTAATGAATTATTTACATATAACTGATACAGGTATCAGAAAGAGAACAATTAAAGAGTTCTATGAGGCATTATAAAATATAAATGAAAAGATAAAACAAACAAATTCACACTCATACATAAGGGAGATAGCCAAATAGACTTCATATGTATAAATAAGAGATACAGAAATTCAGTATTAGCAGTAAAAACATATCCAGGCGCAGATGTACCAACAGATCACAATATTTTAGTAGGAAAAAATAAGACTGAGATTAAAAAGAGTTGCAAGGACGAATAAGCAAACAGTTACTATTGATAGAGAAACGATGCTAAATGATACTGTAAAACAAGAAATAACTAGTATATTAGAACAAAAAATGAAGTTAACATCAAGCAAAGAAGAAAGTACTGAGGAAAACTGGACGAGAATTAAAGACATCTTAAAGACTGTTCAAGAAACAAAATTGAGTGCGCTAAAAGCAAGAAAAAAACAAGGGTGGATGACAGAAGAAATACTGAGACTTATGGATCAAAGAAGAGAAGTCAGAAATAAAGATAAAAACGAATACAAGAGGATCCACGCAATAATCAGGCAGAAGATAAGACACGCGAAAACACAATTTCATAGTAAAGAATGTAATGAAATTGAACAATATGAAAAGAAACACGATACATTTCATCTGCACAAGAAATTAAAAGAGGTCGCTGGAAACAAACGGAAACAAGTATCCCAAAGTTTAGAAGACAGAAACGGACACAGAATATTAGACATCAATGAAAAGTTAAAAGAATGGGAAAACTACATTCCTGAATTATTTGAAGATGAGAGAGTAGAACACTATACACCGATTGCTATATCAGGTCCATCTATAACAGAAAGTGAGGTAAGACGTTCAATACAAACGGCAAAAAATGGAAAAGCACTTGGCCCCGATGAAGTAAGTGCTGAAATACTAAAGTTTTTGGGAGAAAATGGAATTAAAGCTCTGTGTAATCTCTTTAACAGAATTTATGACACTGGGATATTACCAAACTGATTGGTTAAAGTCGACATTTGTCACAATACCTAAGAAACATCGATCCAAAGACATGCGGTGATTATCGGACAATAAGTCTGATGAGTCACGTTTTGAAGATCTTCCTGCGAGTAATACACAGCAGAATTTACACGCTGTTAGAGGACAGAATTAGCAATACTCAATTTGGGTTTAGGAGTGGCTTGGGTACAAGAAAGCCTTGTTTAGTATACAGGTGCTAGTACAGAGATGCAGAGATATAAATCAAAATGTGTACATTTGTGCAATCGATTTTGAAAAAGCTTTTGACAAAGTCCGACATAACAAAATGCTAGAAATATTGGAAACAGCTGGATTGGACGATAAAGATCTACAAATAATTACAAATCTATACTGGCATCAAGTGGCAAGAATAAAGGTTGAACAAGAACTGTCGGATGAAATAAATATAAAAAGAGGAGTGAGACAAGGCTGTATATTGTCGCCTTTACTTTTTAACTTATATTCGGAGGAAATATTTAAGGAAGCCTTAATGGAGACAACCGAAGGTATTATTGTGAATGGAGTAACCGTCAACAATATTAGATATGCCGACGATACCTTAGTCCTTGCCAATTGCGGAGAAGACCTTCAAAATCTAATGAACAAAATAAAACAGACTTGTGATCAGTATGGATTAAAACTCAACGTTAAGAAAACTAAATATATGATAGTTAGCAAACAAAATTATATACAGGATGACGGTATAAAAGTCGGAGATGCCACACTGGACAGAGTAGAGAAACTCGTGTATCTCGGCAGTAATATCAATGAGAGCTGGGATCCAACCGCAGAAATTAAAAGCCGAATAGAACAAGCCCGAGCTGCCTTTGTAAAAATGAGAAACGTACTTTGCAGTCACGATCTTAGCATTGACCTTAGAGTTCGTATGACATCTTGCTACATCTTTCCTGTCCTGCTGTATGGAGTGGAAGCGTGGACTCTAACTGAGGCTATGCTTAAACGCTTGACAGCCTTTGAGATGTGGGTATACAGACGACTACTGAAAATAAGCTGGGTCGACAGAGTTAGAAATGAGGAGGTCCTTAGACGGCTGAGCCAAACAACACAACTGGTCAATATAATAAAAAAAACGCAAGCTGGAATACTTCGGTCACATTATGAGACACCCTGAAAAATATGATCTTTTACATCTGATCATTCAGGGAAAGATCCAAGGTAATCGTGGTCCTGGTAGACGAAGAACATCATGGCTGAAAAATCTAAGGCAATGGTATGGAAAATCAACTACATCGTTATTTAGAGCTGCTGTCAATAAAGTCACGATAGCGAATATGGTAGCCAACATGATATCCAACGATCGATAACGGTCATGGAACTAGAAGAAGAAGACATAAGGGAGATTGCAATTTCGGAATAGAAGACCAACATGTATAGGATGGGACGAAGGAACATAAGGAAGATAAATAGAGAGATCATCATCATCATCATCCAGTCTTTGCATCCAAAGTTAAACATAGACCTCTCCTTATTTCTTCCAGTTCTGTCGATCTTGGGATTTCTGCAACCAATTTCCAGCAACACAAATCAACAACAGATTAACAATAAATGTATTAGATGCTGCACAGCCAAGAGATTCAGCTGGCTTCAAAGTGGATTCAGTATCCTGAATCAATTCCACACGTTTCAAGAATCTAAGGATAGAGCTAAATAATATGAAATACCGCTAGCATTAACCTTCATAGATTTCAAGACGGTTTTCGTTCTATATATCCCAGGGTAGTAATAGAAGGTGAAGGTGAAGTCATCAATAATTTGCGATATGCGGACGATACAGTACTCCGAGCTTCTAGTCAAGAAGATCTGCAAACACTACTTGATAGTGTCGTTGAGAGTTGTAGGGAGGCAGGTCTGGATCTGAACATACGGAAAACCAAAATACTCGTAATAAGTAAACAACAGCATATAAAACCGTCTATATATGTAAATATACCAAACTTGGCAAGTTGATAAAATCGTTTACCTTGGACAGCAATTAAATTGTAACGCAGAAAGTCACGGCGAAATCAGATCTAGGATAGAGCAGGCTAGACCTGTTTTTAGAAGGATGTCCAAGGTGTTATGTAACAGAGACCTAAAATTGGCATTGAGGATCCGCCTACTTCGCTGCTACGTGTTCTCGGTCTTACTTTATGGTGTCGAGTCATAGGCTGTGAATAAAATCGATCTAAATCGCCTTGAGGCTTTCGAAATGTGGTGACTATAGAAGAATTTTAAAAGTTTCTGGGAGGAAGAAGATTCGAAACTCCACATACTAGAACGTCTCACACAAGACTACTGAGATCATAAAAAGCATCAAAGTAGAGAAAGCTGAAGTATTTCGATATGTAATGATAAGGTCCCAAATATAGGTCGCTACAAAATGTCATGCAAGGAAAAATAGCAGGCAAACGTAGTCCAGGACGAAGAAGAACCTCATGGTTGAAAAACTTGCGAGATTGGTTGGTGTATGATACAAGCATGCTATGTTAGGGTGGCAGTGAATAAAATTAAGATAGCTATGATGGTAACCAACGTTCTGAAAGGACATGGTACATGAAGAAGAAGAAGTAATAGAAGCTGACCAACCAAGCCATGGACAAACCGTACAAAGGGACTTTAGCAAATAATCGTATATAGACAAGCAAAAAAGGTAAGGTAAACATTTAATGAAAACACTCCAGAATTTTTTCAATACCAGAGGCACTGACAAGGAGAGGCAATATCGCCAAAGCTTTTCACTGTAACTCTATGTAGAAAATATTCAGTAAAATGAAACTGACAGACCAAAGTCCTAACTATTGTTGGAGAATTCCTAAGCAATCTAAGATAAGAATAAGAAAAGATCAGAAAAAAACATTATCTCTGGAATGTAAACTTAACGTAATTACAGGTTTTGAATCAAACGTGCAATTATGTGAACTATTATCAGAACAATTATAAGGGCAAGGAAAAAATTCTCGAAGCTGTGAAAAGTGCACAATCCTTAAAATCCACCAATCGTACGTAAACGTTATGGTATTATCGCCAAAAGGTAGACAATATTAAAATTATGGTGTGATAATAGGTAAACGTGGAAAATTGTCCTATTTAATCAGAATACAGTGTACTCTCAAGCTAAGCTAATTTTGAGAGATTGAAATAGGATGCTGGAGAAACCGCTAAAGTAGGACAGTTTAAAGCTAGTAACGGTTGCTGTGCAAAGTATGTTCTCAAAAAAAGAATAACGGAAAGATACAACATACCATTACGAATGTCCCTAATAAACCAGGATTATATGGTAGATGTTTCGACAATGACCATAGCGGGTAATATATTTTGTTACTTTTGTCTAGTAGTATTTGCAATTAGTTAGTTTTGTTTCTGTTTTTATACTTTTTTGCTGACGCGAATGATATTATTTCAGGTTGAAGGAATATCGATACCTTAGAACACAATTGTGCTATGTCCACTTTTTTTTCTTTTTTCTTCAATATTGGTTACACTAATTTATGATAGAATGATACAATATATTTCCACTGCACAAACTGATCATGCAAATACTAATTAATAAAGTTAAATAAAAAAGTGTTATGTCCACCTTAGAATAGTATAGGGATGCACATACGTACTATGTCCACCTGCTAGATCGTTTAAAGTGAACACTTGTGCTATGTCCGGACATAGAACGTTTGTGTTATCAAGACAATGACAAACATATTAATAATATAAGTTGTCGCTGTGTTATTATTATTAATATTTGTGCTGCTTACTTTGACCTATTGACTGTCGGCAACGAGCAACTAACGGTGAAGGTAAATTACGAGTCTGCTTAAGTTCTTCTGTAATACTTTTTCAATATCAAAAATAATTTCAAATGACGTTTTAAAATTTAAAACCCGAATGGCAACTATC